CCAGTGCTCGAGCGCAATTATTAGCCTGGTTTTATTCAGCTGTATCAGCGGACCATTGCTGTCTCCCATGGTCTTGACCATGACAGCAGTGCCTAAAGATGAAGTCTTCCACTGGAGAAGGAAAACTTAGCGGAAGATTTTTTTCTCTCTGTATTGGCAGGCATGTTTCTAATAAAAGGATTTTTTCAGAGAGTAACTAAACACCTTGCAATTCCATCAAACACTTCTACCCGATGTGCCTTTCCTTCTCTTTGCAGAATTTTTTTTTTCTCCAGTGTACAGAGACAGGGTACAGGGCTTTGGTCTCACAGCGAACCCTTTCTGACTAAATTGTAAGTTATGCTTCTGATGTGGCTGAGCAAAGGTTGTAATCAGTATGGTGCCGTAAAACCCAAGAGGCAAAATTAGAGCAGTGTGTAGATTTTAAATAAATAAACCCTAGTTGAAAGATGACCTAGCCTGTAAGTAGCCTTCCTTTTCTTACTTCAAAGCATGGCCCATCATGATAATTCCCACAGACTAATGAAGCTCTTACTTGGGGCAGAAAGAACAAAACCTGTTCTTAATCTTTAGGAGTTTTAAGGGCTACTTCCAGACTTCTAGAAATGATTTGAAGTTTTGCAATTTTATTTTCTTCTTGCAGGAACAGATGTCGTCATTGTTAAAAATGGCAGAAGAATATGTGGCACAGGAGGCTGCTTAGCCAATGCACCTTTGCATCAGAACAAGAGCTATTTTGAGTTTAAAATCCAGTCCACAGGTTAGTCAGCAAAAATGTACAACTTTAAACTTGGAAGGTATGTCAGATTGCGTGCTGGCAGTCATATGTCAAATACTGAGCACATGCATCTTTCTAATTGCATCCTTGAACTTGTGAACATTGGAGAGTTTTATAAGTTGTCATTGTGTAAAAGGATTTTTTAAAAATTTTTATTTTTTAATTGTGGCTTTGAAATATTAAAAAGAATGGTGAGTATATTACTAAAGGAGTGTGAATGCTAAAACACTATATTGTTTTGTATGCAGTTATATGCATGTTTTTCAGTTAGCATATTTTAGAAATGTTTTTTGGTAAATGCGTATGACCACTTAAACCACTGTAGCTGTGAAGGTTGGCGTTTTTTAATAGTGCAGTTTATCCAGCAATATTTGTAGCTATTTGTCTACCTTCATTTGCTTTTAACCTGCACTGTGTTTACCTGAGCAAGGGTAACACTCCTTGTGCTACATTTTGCTCTTCGAATTGAATGTGCAGCACTTATTCTGACACTGCCTTATCAAGAGGAGCCTTTCAGCACCCTGTTTCTTTATTTGTTTTGCACAGATCTAATGCAAGGCAGATGAAAGTGAATGAAATTTGGAAGCATTATGTTTTTACTGATATGGCCAGCTTCACTAGTACACAGTGCACTCCAGGCTTGCCTGTATTCTAACATTAAAAATCAGCCTGTATTTTTAAAAACAGACACTGTGAAAATGAAGTTGTTATTTCCCTAAGTGTGTAGAGGGAGGGAAGAAGAAGGGAAGTGTTAGTCCAGAGACAGGCCTTATGATACCAGCTGGAGCTTGAACCCAGCGCTTTTTGGGTAAGGGTTGTTTGCATTCAGTTTGATTGGAGTGCAGGCAGCGTGAACACAGATCTGTCCAAAACACCTTGCAGTCAAAATGGTTGTTTAGTTTTAAACTGCATGTAAATGCCAGCTCAGTCTTAACTTGGCAATTTTAGTATCCTTTCTGTTGGGGGGAAGAATCCACTGCAGCTGTTGTTCATATATGGTCATTATTCACACAGATACAGTGCCCATGTTCTTATGCTTAATTTGAGAAACACAGGAAGTAAACTCTTGGGCCCTATGAGCTGTGTCTCATGTATTCCTGTGCCCGAAGGCAGGAGAATTGTAGATCATTTAGCTTAAAAGTTTGATTCCCAGAAGTGTCCCTGCACGATCTGTTAGGGGTCATCTGTGGGGTCACTCTGACCATTGGAAAGTTTTCTGAAGTCTAGTCTGAATCTTGTTTACGCTCTTGTCCTTTTCATTCTGGGCATGTAAGTATTATAATAAATTGTTCTGCAATTTTGTCTTTTGAACTGATTTTTGTATATTTTTGCCTCATTTTAGTCTTCTGTATGTTAAACAGTTCTAGGTTTTTTTTCATTGTCTCCTTACAGATGATGTTTTTACACTTCTGTTTGGATTTGTTGTTTCTTCTAGAATATCTCTAATTGACCTAATTTGTCTTGAGGTGTGATGCTTAAAATGGATGCTCTGCTCCAGCTGCAGCAGCAGTAGATGCCCTTCATCTGCTGTACATACAATATGTCTGCTTTATACATGCCATACATCCAGAAGTTTTTCACAACAGCAGGGCACAGACTCACACTCAGCATGTGGTCTGTGATAACCCCCAAATTATATTCTCTGAACTGATTGCCAAGCCACTATTGTATTTGTGCCACTTACTATTCCTACTTACCTGCTGTTCTTTGTAATTCAGGAAAAGCAAATGCATTTTCCTTATTTCAGACCTCTTAACCAATTTGTGAGGATCATTTAAAACTTGAGAGGCCTCTGAAGAGCTTGCAGTTCTGTCAGGTTGGTATGGGCAGCGCATTTAATAAGCACATTGTTATGTTATCCAAGTCATTGGCGTGAATACAGAACAGTATCTGACCTTGGGCATTCAGTACAAAACCTCAGACCGCACTCGAGTCATCTCTTTTGATTTGACAGGATGCTGTTGATGAGTAGTCCTGGAATGCAGTTTTCTAACCAGTTGTGCATTTGTATTGCTGTAACTATCTAGACCATGTTTTCATAATTTGACCATTTCAATGGTGTATGAAGTTCAAAAGCCATTACCAAATCAAGATCTATCATATTTACAATTTCTTCTTTTTCCCTAGGACTAGTCTAACCAGATGAAAAAGAAAACAATTGTGTTGTTCACAGATCTGTGCTAGTTGGATTTAATTTTTATATCCTCCTACAGTCTCAGAGTTTGTTTTCAATATTTTTCTGGGGATAAAAGTTAAGCTAAGTGGTTACAATTCTCTGGATCTTTCTTTTTCAGAATAGATGCTTTTTATCTTCGGTCTCTTTGTGAGACTGTTTGTACTAGGTCTGGCCAGGATGGAGTTAATTTTCTTCATAGCAGCTTCTATGGTGCTCTGTTTTAGATTTCTGATCAAAACAATACTGATGACATAGGAATGTTTGGGCTATTTCTGAGCAGTGTTTGCACAGCATCAAGGCATTCTCTGTTTCTCACTCTGCCTCCTCCGTGAATAAGAGTGAGAGGTTGTGAGGAGACATAACCAGGTAGGTGATCCAAACCATTCAAAGGGATATTCCATGCCACATAATGTCATGCTCAGCAATCAAAGGGAGAGGAGGGGATTTAGGAAGGTTAGCCATCTTTTGCTCGGGAATTGGCTGGGCATCAGTCTTACCTGTGGGAGGTAGTGAGTCATTGCCTTTGCATCATTTTGTTTTGTTTTCTTTCTTTTTTCCACTTCTTTGCTTATTAAAGAATTTTTATCTTTACCCACAATTTTTCTTGGTTTTACTCTTCCTTCCCTCTTCCCCCGTCCCACTGGGGACTGTGGGAGGAAGTGAGCGGCTGAGTGGTGTTTAGCTGCCTACCAGGGCTAAACCACCATAGTCCTGGTATTTCCAAGAGATACGTACTGGTACTACCGCCATGGCACTAGTTAAAAACGCATTCTTTATGCTGTCCTGCTTCAGTCAAATAATCTTCAAAATAATGATGTGGGTTTTTTCTTACCATGTTAATGTCACATTTTAGGGATTTGGGGTATTGGTGTTGCAACCCAGAAAGCAAACTTGAATCAAATTCCACTTGGTCGAGATGTCCATAGCCTGGTGATGAGGAATGATGGAGCTCTCTACTATAATAATGAGGAGAAAAATAGACTACCAGCAAACAACCTTCCTCAGGAGGGTGATGTGGTGGTGAGTTTCTTAAGGCTTCTTTCTCTTCCCCAGCTATTCCCAGATTCCTCTTATTTACAGCCCTGTGGTCAGACTGACCCTTTCAGTCAAATTGTTCAGCTTTGAATCTCTCAGTTTGGAAAGTGCTGGTACAAACTCCTGTTGTATTTGAATGGATCAGCAGCCTGGATACCAGTGGACTTCATTCTCAGCATTGATATGTTTCTGACTGAGATAGACTTTACCAGTGTTTGAAAAGTAGGCTCTAATGCTCTGTTGCAGTCTGGTTGCAGTATCTACCTGAAGGATAATTCCCATCACAAGGATCCTACGTTGTTTGAGATGGGACCTTCCTGAACAGATAATGTGCTAGAATGCAATACATAGCTCTGCACCATGCCCAGCTGAACTCAAGATCCTGTAGCTAACTGGTTAATGATTAGAAGGACAGAGCTGAGCAGAGATAGATCCTGGGCGACAGATGAATTGTATTTTTAGCCCAATTTTTGTACGGACGGACAGGTATTAAGTGAGGAGGGGATAATGCTCACTGAGAAAATGATTAAGAATGAGATCAAATCATAAGACTTTTTTTTACCTTACTATTCCAGGTTTTCCAAAACATCTTTAAGTGACTTTGTTCAAAGAGTTGTGTTTTATTGCTGTCATTTTCTCAATGCCTGTTAGAAATGTATTTACAAAAATACATGGGAACAATGCAATGAAATTTAGACCATTTATCACCACTACTTTTTCTTGCTGGGTAACCTCGCCTCTATATAGCAATGGTTAGAAATGTCATCTTTAGAAGCCCCAAACAGCTACGGTTGACTCCTCCACCCTTTACTCTCAGATACTATATTATTCTTTTAATCCCCTTCTGAAATTGTTCTTTTGGAGGGTTGCAGACTGTTCCAAGGTTTGGTCAACCTATGTAGTCTGAACAGCTTCAACTAATCACAAAAAAGTAGCTGATGTGTTCTGCTAAGTCCCCAGTTTTCATAAATTTCAATTTTGTTTGTTCTGTCACGAACATAGATTTCTGAAGTAGGGTATGAGAACACAAATTGTCACACTCAACCATACCAAAGTGGTCAGAAAAATCATTTAGCTCATGAGTAAGTAATTTATTACCTTGTTTGTGTTTGCTTTGTGCTCTGTAGTCAGCATATTTATAGCGTTGTGTATGAAACCATAGTCTGTTGCTGGCAGAGAAAATGAGCTAAGAGAGGTTTCCATATGGAAGTATGGACAGATAAACTTAATTCACAGCATCACTATTTTCATGAGATGGTATAAACAAGAAGACTGCAAACTGCTCAATATTCAAAATCATGGAAAATTTTGTGTTTCTTTAACATGGTGAATAATAGTCTGGAAATTTGTTTTGTAAACTGTCTTTAGTAAGATGCGGTGTGCAGTACTGTGCTGCATCTAAATTGAATGACCATTAAGGAATCCTGGGTATTTGAAAATATAAATGTTACTGGTCATTTATTAACTTCTAGTCCTTTGCAAGAATATTTCAAGTGAGGTTTTCTGGGATGTTGTGGTTTGCATAATGGTGTTAAAATTTGCCTGTGGCTAAGAAAGCTAAATTAAGTAGCAATCTTATGTTTATAAACTTGTTGATGCTTTTTTGTTGATTTTCTGTACTTTGTAGGGCATTACATATGACCATGTAGAATTAAATGTATATTTAAATGGGAAGAACATGCATTGTCCAGCTTCAGGAATCCGAGGGACTGTCTATCCAGTGGTCTATGGTAAGTCAGAGATTTTCAAACTGGTTCACAATATCGACAATATTTTTGTACCAAGTCTGTCTTGTGAGCTATGTATTCTTCTCACTTAAATGGAAACACATCAATCATTTATTTTTGGCAACTACAACAATAAATTTAATGAAAATGCAAACCTAGGAAAATAAAAAAGTTTTTTTTTCCACCTATTTTTTAATGCTGCTTAGTAGCTAGGGAAAAAAGCACTGCTTACTGACTACTGACAGTGTCCACATCCAACAAGCTGGGGAGTTACTGCCCTCAGTCTAAAAATTGCCAGGTAAAAAAACCTGTGAAGCAGATGGAAAAAAAGAAAAACAACAAATTTCAACTAATGTAGACTTGTGGGCTAATCTGATTTATCTCTGAAGCTTGGTGTTTAGGCCTATTAATTTCACATACTTTATAAATGTATTCAGTGTTAAATACAAATAAACACTGAATTGCTGTTTGTATTTTCTTATGGAATTACTAACTTTAATGTAGTACTAGTACAGTTGTGTGCTGTATAGTGGTACAGCTCTTTGCTGCTATACCAAATTGACACCCGGTTTTGAAATCCAACAATTGGTGAGCGATTTGTGGTAGCTGTTTTGCCAGCAACCATCAATACGACACAGCAGTTTTGAACAAGAAACAAATACCATATCAAATTAATCCCTGCATAGGCAGTTTAAGAAGGAATGTATGAATTATGGAAGCTGGAAATTGGCCAAAACATGTGTTAACAATTTACTCTTCCAGAACTTGGCGGTGGTTTTGTAGTTCCCAAGTAGTCAGAATTCTGTTTAACATGTCATCTGAAAGGCAGCACTTCCCCTAGCTCAGTGCATAATTAACGTTACGCTCTGGATTGGCTTGTAACTTACAGCAAATGACAACTGCTCATTGGATTCCCTGTGTTACACCTACAGCCATCTCCAGTTTATCTTTATTCCTGTGTGAGCTTTGTCTAACTAGTAGCCTTTTCCAAAATCGTTTTACTCTTGGGATACCATTAACTATGTGATGTCGATAACTACTTCTTTTCTCGGTTAGTTCCTAATGAAGTGTTGGCATATTCCCATTTATATCTTGATACTTTTGTAATATTGAATTTTATGAACAGCAATAAAATACTCTAGATATGTTGTAGAGCCTTTGAAGTCTATAAACGTAGCTGACAAATTATATCATTCCAAGCTATTAGAATGGGAATTGGTTTTTGTGGTCATTTTGTGATGTGTTCTCAAGCCACATGATGGCGCTGCTAAAATGCTGTGGCAGACAGTAGCTGCCCCGCAGCACTGCGGGATCTCCTTGTGCAAAAAGCTTCAAGAGCAGCGGGAAAAGGGTTGCTGTGTGGTAATTTGTTGTTGCATCTTCCCTATATTTCGGAACTGGTGTTACATAGCATGAAGAATGCAGGTTGCTTTCAGAAGACATGTGGTGGCATGTTAGCCTGCTGTAAATCATCTTCTTCTCTGACTAAAGTAGTTCCGTGCCTGGGGAATGCTGTGACCTTTTATTGCCAGGCTCTTATTATCATCTTCCACAAGTGGGCATAATTTCATCATAATTATCATGTCTCCCACATACAGCTATAACAGGTGAAGCCTGCAAATTGCTTTTGCATGGTACTTGCTTGGTATAGACTTTAACTATAAATGTCCTTAATTTAACGTGAACTACTTCCAGACATGTGAAAGGATTTGACCGTAGAGAAGAGAGTTTCTTAAGCATTTACCCTATCCATAATTCAGACTAGAACTACAGATATCTTTTGAAAAGAAACGTGATAGAGCAGGCAAACACGATGTCAAGCCTGAGAATGTAAAACAGAAAAGTGGAGTTAAAGGTTGTTCCCTACAGCAGCTGCACCCCAGGCACTTTTCAGAAATGAGATGTAAACATTGTATAAGTACTACAGAACTGTACAAATATATTAATTGGAGTTTTAACTGAGCGTACGATGGAAAAATTCATATTTTGGCTCTGAGATATCTAAATTCCAAACCAAAATACAGAGATGAAGCTTTTCTGGTTTGATCTAATGTTGCTGGTGTACCAGATTCTTCTTGGAAGAGGTTGTCTGTGAAAGAGATCTTGCTTTTCTAACAGGTTGGGTATTTCAATTTGCTAATGCAATACAGGAAAGCTTTACTCTGAAAATCCTCAGCAGCTTCTTTTTTATATTCTACATTGAAGGTAGTAACACTTGTGTCTCAGATTATGCAGGGTGTCCAAAACTGGGAGAGGTACTCTAGAAAACCATTAACTTCCAATTTAAAGAAGCAGTCAAAGCAGCTCTCTTTGGATCACATGCTAAAACAGATGGTCTGACACCAAGCATCGCAGACATCTGAAACCTTGTAAACCTCCAGGAAAATCATTGCAGACAGCTGACACTCCAGCGGAATTAGGAAATGGACAGAAAAATACGTATCTGGTAGCATCCTTCATCTGTAGATTTCCAGAGAAATAGAGTAGAAAATCTAGAGGGAATTGCCTGACACCCTGCTAACACTCCCAGTGCAATCAGAGGTTGCTTCTCATTGACTTCACCAAGGACCATTACCAACTAAAGAAAAGAGAGATGATTTGCTCTCCTTAGGTATGTCTGTAGGGCTTTAGCAATTTTGTTGAAGAGATTTCTTTTAATTGTATTGTATATACGTAATTGATGTATTGCACAATATTCTTCATGGGACGAGCACAGTATATAATCTACTAAGGTGGTGTAATAGAGGATGAAACCTTAAGTGTTCCTTCTCTGATTCCTTCTGTCTGGTTCTCTTCTGCAGTTGATGACAGTGCCATTCTGGATTGTCAGTTCAGTGAATTTTATCATACGCCTCCACCAGGGTTTGAAAAGATCCTCTTTGAGCAGCAAATCTTCTGAATGTCTTCGTACCAACAGTTTGCACCCTGCACTGTTACAAAAGCTTTGTCATCTTAAATAAAGCTTCACGTTACTTTTAGGAAGCATATCTGTATTTTTAGTAATTACTTGTGACTATTGTCTGCAGAACTACTATGTTAACTGCAACACCAGATAACTGTGTTGCAAATACAAGATTTCTAACAATGTTTCGTGGTTGAAAATGAGTATTTTGGGGCAGGGTTTTTCCTCTGATGTGTACTTGATGCATAAAGAAACTAAAGGATATTATTGACATCAGTATTACATTCAGTATTTTGAACAAACTGGAGCTCTGTAAAGCCAATAGTTCTTATGCATATGACAGGTATGGAGATGGATAGTTCTCATTATTTTTTTTCTCCAGCTTTTTCACACAGGAGCTATGTACCTCATTTAAAGGAAGCACTGTGTTTCTAGTCTGATTTGGAGTTGTGTCCCAGTTATGCACAATGACTATTAACTCGATGGCATAACTAGCAGGTGATTTTTTTTCTCCAGCTTTTTCACACAGGAGTTATGTACCTCGTTTAAAGGAAGCACTGCGTTTCTAGTCTGTGATTTGGAGTTGTGTCCCAGTTGTGCACACTGACTATTAACTCGATGGCATAACTAGCAGGTGGATACTTTTTTTTTTTCAAGATGTAATTTAATCCATTCCCTCAATCTTAGACCAGCAAATATAACTTATCTATTTCTCCTAGCTTTTCATTTGCTTTTATTGTGACAAATAATAGGACACTTTCTAGTAATACTTTTTTGTTTAACCTTAAAAGGTAAACCTGAGCACTATCTGTGTTTTTGAGGACCACCATGCTGTGTTACTGTGGTAGCAGAGTAAGTACGGATCACTCAACTTGGGTATGCAAAGAGCCAGGTGAAGGGTATGAGATGTTATGGTGAAGCCTTACATCTAAACTGTAAATTAGATTATTCTTTTATGGGATATCTTATTTAATTTCTTTGTGAATCATTTATAAATGATTAATGGCTAAGACATTGTTCTAAAATGTGATGCCCTTGAATATAAATTGTGAGATGCTTTTTTCCCTTCTTGTCATATTTAATATAGTTCCTAGAATAATTTTTATTCTAAAGAAAATCTTCACACTGGATATTTGATTTTTTTTTTGGTTTTGGCTCTTCCTGGGTTAATGCATTTGCATAAATGATTTTATTTAAATATTTTTAGAAATTATCTGATTCTGAAATTTTCAAATACAAACAGCTTTCTCAAAGCCTTTCACCTTATGATTTTCTGAATCTGTCTTTTCATTCCGAGTGGCCCGTGTTGTCCTTCCTTTTAGCCTTCCTGCCACATGACAGTGTTGGGTAGAACTCTTCAACCTGGCAGGAATGATGCCCTTGTCAGCCTTATCATATAAAGCTTGGGAGATTAGAGTGCAGTTTTATCGTCTCCCCTTGAAATCTGTTCTGCTTTGCTGTGGTCAGATACGTAATCCAAGTTTAATGAAACATTCATATGTTTCGTTTTAAGTTTTCCCAGCAGATGTTTTGAGCAGTTTCCCCAGTAGACGTGGGAGCAGCTGTCCCGGATAGGGCAGGGGCTTCTGCGGTGGGTTGATGCCAGGTGCCCCCTCAAAGCTGCTCTGTCACTGCCCTCCTCAGC